CCCCCTGCACAGAACTGGGAAGGGTCGGGCCTGGAGGCTGGACCCCGTGGGCCACACTGTGTACAAGCCCCTCACGTGATCAGGCGTTAGCGGTGCCGCCCGCACGTTGCGCACGGAGCCCAGCAGGACTAGGGAAACAATGCGCCCGGCCCCGCCAGGTGCGCCGGGCCCAGCCAAAGGCGCTGCGAGCAGCGCGGATTCTGCCCGGCCCAGAGCCAGGGCAAGGGAGAGGACTTTGCGCCCGGGCCGCCCCTTCTGGCTCCGGGGCGCCACCACGCGCTGCACTAGCGCAGGTGACTCTTCTCCTCCAGCTTTGGACCCCCTGCCTCGCCTCTGATGGAAATGGACCCCAACTGCTCCTGCCCAGGTGGTAAAGGCCCCAGGCTCTGGCACTTAGGTCACTGTCTTCCCAGTCCCACCAGGGTGTCCCTGGGTTGAGCGGAGGGAGTATTTCGAACTTGAGAGGAAGTGGACTCCTGCAGAGAGGGTGCGGACTCTGTGCTCTCTCCCTGGCCAAGGGCATTCCTCCCCCACCATACTCCCCCCACCCCCGTCACCCGCCCCCTCCCATTAGAGAATTTCCAGCCTCCTGAGGCTCAAAGCTGTCCTGTTCCTCATCATCGGGTGAGCCCGGGGCCTGCTGGACCGAGGACCCTAAATTGTCTGTGGAATCTGGGAGGCAGGGGCACTGTGTCTTCTGCGCTCAGGACAAAGGTCCTGATCCTCAGACCCAGCCTGACTGAACCCGGTCTGGAGCTGGGACCATCCCTGCAGGGTGAATACCAGGGAGTGTACCATGCTCCCCCGCACAGGGGCGGAGGAGCTGGCTGAGGCTGCACCTGTCCTGTGTGGGGCAGGAGCTGCCAGGGCTGAGCCTGATGGGGAGGTGCAGGGGGGACTGGTGATCGCTGCCGCCTCTCCCGCATCACACGTCTCACTGCCCAGCTTTCTCCTCCTCGCAGGTAGTGAGCCCTGCACCTGCGCCGGCTCCTGCACAGGCAAGGACTGCCAATGCACCGCCTGCGAGAAGAGTTGGGGGCCTTCTCCAGGAACCTGAAGGCGGAGCTAAGGCAAGAGAGGGAACCCAGAGCTGCATGGTTCTGGGAGAACTGGTCTTCCTTGGCTCCTGGGACCCCGTCATGGCCTCTGCAGGCTCTGTGCCCTGTCCCAGGCTCAGATGGGGCAGGACAGCCTCCTCATGGTGACACCCAAACCCCGAAGGTCTTACTACTTGTTTCACAACAGAGCACGCATACTATGGCCCCCCGCCCCCAGGGCCCAGGGCTTGCACCAGGCCTGCTGCTGGGCAGGGAGGTGCCTGGTGAAGTCATCTCTGACCTCTCATTTCCCCTGTTCCCCCCAGGCTGCTGTGCCTGCTGCTCTGGTGGGCTGTGCCAAGGGCACCCAGGGCTGCGTCTGCGAAGGAGCGTCAGGCAAGTGCAGCTGCTGTGCGTGATGTTGGGGGGAGCCTGCTCCCCGCTGTAAACAGGGCGATGTCTGCAAACCTGTATTGTTTTCAAGCCCCCCTGACCCATTTGCCACATTCTCTTTTCTATGAAACACGTGCGGGATAATGTAAGCGGCTGACTTTACTCCGACTCCGGTTCTTTTCCTTTGCATGGGCGTGAGACATTTTTGCCCGCCGGAGCTGGGTGGGAGACTGGACCAGAAGTGCAGAGAGCTGAGCTCCGCATGGAAATATTCGTCCCCAACAAACGGAGTGCCTTAGGGCCAGCGGGTGACTTCATCTTCTGTCCACGGCACAGCCTTGGGCCCCCAGCTGCGAGGGCTTGCCTCTAAAACGCTGGGGTTGAGTGCCGTTTTCTTGTGTCTAACATTCATGGATGTCAAGTTTTGTCAAATAAAATGAATTGCTGAGGAAAATTTGAAAGGACAAAAACCCATGTACAAAACCCATTCTGAGATTCAACACATGCAACTGCAATGCATGTATGAAGAACCGATGAGAAAATTAGATGTTTATAAACACTGTACACATGTTCATCAGAAGTGTGCCCTGGGCACTTGACACAAGTCACAGACGCCCCAGTGTGTGGCACGCACAGCCTCGCAGAACCACGCACACCCCCCACCCCGGTATCCCCACGGGCGATCATCACTCTTGGCTTGCCTGGGGTCTCTGAGAGAACGCCTGCCCCCCTCCGCACCCCGAGAGCTCGTGGTTGTGGGTTGGCGTCGAATATGAGTCAGGCAGTTCCCTGCCCCTCCCAGACCCAGCCTTTAGCTACTTGGCACCAGCAAAGAGACCAGGGCTTTAGGGGAACTGCCTGGCCCGTTCTCGGCAAGCGGGTGTGCACTTGAGACCTGGCTCCAGATGAGGGAGTTTGTGTCCATCTGCCCATGCGGGGAGATGGGGGGGTTCCCGCCATTCGAGGGGCGTGGCGGTGTTCATTAGACAAGCCCTGAGTGACTTGTAATTACTGACGACGGTTTGTCCCCCCAGGCTGGTTGTGGAGGGAGCTGCTATTTGATGTAAAATCAAAGAGAAAGATGAGTCACGTGGGCCAGAGGCAGGCCCCTGCTTGCCTGCAGGTGCCCCGTGTGAAGAGGGTTTGGCAGCCAGCCCGGGCTGCGAGCGTGGGCCCTGGCGTCAGGCCTCCCGGTTCACAGACCGCCGCGCCACTGCCTGGCTGCATGGCCGGGCGAAGGCCTTTCCCTGCTTGTAGAAAAGAAATGTTGTCTCTAAGGAGGGATAAATGATCGTGTCCAGGCTCTAGGCGAGGGTGTGATGAACAGTGGCCATTGGGGGCGCTGTCCACACTGACATTCGTGCGGAGGGAATCCTTCTAACCCCTGCGTGCTCCAGGAGAAAAAGGCTCACTGGTTCTGAAGCATTACTCTGGGTCGGAGGCTATCGGTGGCACTTGAACCTTGCTGACCCCGTGCTGTGGGGAGTGGGGATAACCTGCGATAAGCCCCCTGGGACAAGACCTGGCCTCAGCATTGGGACAGACACAGAGCCCTCCTCGCCTCTCCTGTCATTCGCTCTGCCCAGGAACCAGTGAGAAAGTGAAGGTTGGGGGACTGGAATGATTGTGGCACCTGCCAGGAGGTTAAGCAACCTGCCCGGGATCACACAGCCCGTCGTCAGAGGTCTGAACCTATCCTACAGCCGACTCACCCCCTGCCCACAGGCGGCTGACCAGGTGCCTCTGGGCGTTAAGTCCTGCCTGTGGTTATTCGGGGCTGGAATGGTCCTTTGAGATCATCCTGTTGTGATCTTGGCTGGAGAGACAGCAAACCGGAGCCCAGAGAAGTCACAGGCTACGCATGGGGACCCGACTGCTCCTCACTGCTCTTCCCACCGGCTCTGGGCCAGGTGTCCTTCTCCTTCAGGTGATGTCATGGCACCAGGTGGCAGGTGAGGGCATGATGCCGCAGACAGCCAGCATGGCACTGGTAGCGGGTGCCATGACCTGCCTGCGGCTCAGTCTCCTGCACCACGCAAAGGGGACATAATAAGCGTCTGGTTCTTAGGCTTGACTGACTTAACACCTGCAATGAACCCAGAACGAAACCTGGCGCGCTGGGAGCACCCTCTAATATTAGCTGTGACTTCATGTGCGTCACTCATCAAACGGGAGGCATTCTCCTACGTGCAAACACACCTGGCCTGGTGTGCTCGTTCTGCGTCCTGGGCCGTCTTCACCCACCACGCGGGTGTGGGGCCAGGGGTCCAGAGGAGGCGGGGCCCTCTCCCACAAAGAGGAATCAGCACGGCGGGGGGGGGGGGGTGGTAAAGCTTGAGCAAGACAGTCCAAGGTGCATCGGACACCAAAGGAGTCGTCATCTCTGCTGCCACCTGCACCGGCGGTTCACCTAACAACTTTTCAACCATCCGTATTTCCGTGAATACGAAATGCGAACTCCTTACCGCCCCTGGAAATGAGAATCTGTTTACTTCTAAACATAGAAGGTAGCCACAGAGTCACACACACACACACACACACACACACATATCCCTTTTGTAAGTGTCACTTTGTCACTTCCAGGATCCAGCGGGGCACCAGAGCGCTGGCGAAGACATACCTCTGGGCCACAGGGAAGGCTCTTTCTGCTTCCTTGGGGAGCGAGGGGGGTCAGACCCAGGGCACCCCTTCCCAGGACCGTGCCCGTGGGTTCCTTGGGAGCCCCCGTGCTGTGTGTCATGCTAGGGTCCCCCTTTAAAGTTGCTGTCAGGGTTGAAAGAGCAAAAGTGATGAACCAAGCCAGCTGCCGATGCAATGATAGGTAATTGTCATGAACACTGGGAGGGGAAGAACTTTTGTTTGTTAGTTATTTGAGCCAGGTTGGCCTAGTGCCTGCAATGATCCCTTCCTGGGGTGCGGGGAAATTCCATTGGGCTTTGGGAACCTCCATCCTGGAGTGGGGCGGCCCTGCTAGGCTGAGGAAAGGCCCCAGAAAGTTGAGGACCCTGGCGATGTGCCCATTCACCGCTTTGGTCCTGGAGAATTGAAGGAAGGAGAAAGGTGACCCCTCTTGTCCCTGTTGCCGTAAACAGGAAATGCGCAAGGACAGACAACAGTGCGGGGGTGGGGGCGATGAGGGAGTGACGGGCTGAAGGTCACGTTCACCACGGGTCCCTGCACACAACTCCTGGGCTCCAGCCAAGTCAGGGATGTGAGCACAAGGCTGGGTTTGCACACGGCTCCGGGGGAAAGGTGAACCTGAGGACGGGGACTAGCGAGCCGAGGGTGGGGAAGACCACTGGGACTCAGGCGCTGAGTTCCCGGAACAGCCGGGAACAGGGGCAGCGGCCCCACGCGGAAAATTGGGAAGGGCCGGGAGCTGGAACACCGCGTACCAAACAAGCCCCTCCACGTGACCCGGGGCCAAAGGCGACAGGGGAACAGTGCGCCCGGCCCGCGCAGGTGCGCTCAGCCCAGCCGAGGGCGCTGCGGGCTGCACGCAGTCCGCCGAGCGGGGTGCAAAGGCCAGGGCGGGGCCTCTGCGCCCGGGCCGCCTCCTCCGGCTATAAAGGGAGCTCGCGGGCTCCTAGGCGCCACCACGCTGCGGACAAGCAGACGAGCACGAGTGCCTTTTCTCCTCTTGCTTTGGACCCGCTGCCTCAACTCGGATCGAAATGGACCCCAACTGCTCCTGCTCCACTGGTACGAATCCTTCCCTCCCCGCGCTCTGGCCTTAGGTTGCTCCTTTTCCAGGCATAGGACCAGTGTCCTCGGGCTGGACCTGGAGCAAGGAGTATTTCGATCTTGGCTGTAGGGGCTCCTGTAGTTAGCTAGTGTCCCTCCTAGCCAAGCCTCTGAGAGCATTCCCAGTGCCCCTCTGCCTCTGTTTCTGAGTTGAGGGTGCTGAGGCTCCACGCGGCCGTCCTCCAGGTCCGCCAGCGGGTGGGGGGCTGCTGGACTGGGACCCAGTGCTCTGCCCAGGCCTCGGACCTGCCAGGGAGGTGGGGACATGGCCTGTTGCCGGTTCAGGACATGCGACCCTGGCCCCAGGCCCAGTCCACCACCGGGGCTGTGTCTGGAGCCTGGATCTCCCTTTGGGGTAAAATTTGGAGGGAACCTATTTTCCTGGTACTAAGAGAGAGAAAGTGAGGCTTGTCTTTACATGTCCTGAGTGGGGCAGGAGCTCCCAGTGCGGGGTCCTCACAGGGGTGTGTGTGAGTGTATGGAGGGGGGAAGTGCAGGGAGCGACTGGTGTCCAGCTGCTGTCTCCTCCGCATCACACATCTCACTGCCCACTTTCTCCTCCCCCCAGGTGGCTCCTGCACCTGCGCTGGCTCCTGCAAGTGCAAAGACTGCAAATGCACCTCCTGCAAAAAGAGTGAGTGAGGGGCCCTCTCTGGGAACCTGGGGGCGGGGCTAAGTCAGAGGAGGGAGCCCCTAGCTCAGCGGGCTGCAGCAGACCAACACCCCTGCATCTCTACCCCCAGCCCCCCTGCCCCGCCCCCTTCCCTTAGCAACTGAGTCAGAATCAGCTGAGAGAGCCTAAGAGGCAGTTGAGTCCAACCTCTCATCCTAGAACAGGACACTAAGGTCCAGAGAAGTCACCACGTAGTGTCAAGAGGAGCCAGAACTAGAATCTGTCTCCCAATGTAGCCTTCTGACCCCTCTAGTATCCTGAGCACTCGAAGCACTTGAACTTGGCTTCCCTGCCCTGCCCCTGCAGCCCTTTCCTGTGGAGCCAGCCCAGAGCTCCCCTGACCGCCCCCCCCACCCCCACTCTGATCTTGAGGACTTCGCTCACCTCATTCACTCCGTGGTTCCAGGAGGCTGGGGGCTGACTCCCACCCCGCCCCACCCCAGGCCCTGGCACCGCCTCTCCAGGCTTCCTGCCCCGTCTGGACTCCAGGTGGCAGGACCCCCTTCTCCTAGGGGGTGGGCCCTTTTCTGAAGGTGCCACCAGTAGCCCCAGGACAGTACGTGCCATCTCGAACCCCGGGGCGCGTCTGGGGCTGGGAGGAGCTTGCACCAGGCCTGCTGCTGGGCTGGGCGAGGAGGTGCCTGGCGAAGCCATCTCTGACCTCTTGTTCCACTGCTGTCCCCAGGCTGCTGCACCTGCTGCCCCGCGGGCTGTGCCAAGTGCGCCCAGGGTTGCGTCTGCAAAGGAGCGTCGGACAAGTGCAGCTGCTGTGCGTGATGTTGGGGGGAGCCTGCTCCCCGCTGTAAATAGAGCAACGTGTACAAACCTGGATTTTTCAATGTTTTTTTTTTTTTTCATAAACCCTGAACTGATTGCTATGTTCCTTTTTGTATGAAATACCCAAATGACAATAAACTTATCTATACACTTCTGGCTCCACGTTCCTGATGGTGTTCTGGGAATATGGGACTTGGGTCCCCTGGGGCTGTAGGGAAGCCGGCTGGAGGGGGGTGGAGAGGGCTGGAGGGGGCTGGCACAGTAAGTGGGGGCGGGCGAAACCCTTCCTGTTGTCTGGCCTGCCCTTGGCTCCCCCTTGGTGAGCATTTTCTCTACCACCCCTAGAATTAACTGGTCCCTGCCCTTTCTGCGTATCTGTGTCACTCTGTGTATTCATTGGTGCACCATCTATGCTGCACCTACTGAATACGCCAGCAATGGGCTCTCATTGGTGAGGCGGCATGAAACTTATAGGCTGCTGGGGAGAGACAATTACTGCACAGGAGAACAAAAAGGCTAAGACGGAGGACGCCATGGGGGTGAGCCTGCGTGGAGAGACCCTGGCACTGAGGGAGCAAAGGCCCTGCTCCGGACAGAGCTGATGAGTGCAGGAGATACAAGGCCAGTGTATCTGGGCGTGTGGGAGGGCTGTAGTTCAAGTACACTGGAGAGTGGGGTGGAGGCCACGTGCTTCGTTCATCGCAATGACTTCCTAACCTGGGTATGCAGCTGAGTCACTTGGCAAGGTACGAGGGTGCCAAGCCACCACCCCACTCCCCCTCCCAGCCCCCCCACCCCACCTGATTTCTCAGGTCTAAAACGGGCTGCACCCCGCTGACACAGCGCCAGGGAAGCATGTGGTGAAACGCAGTGAGCTGCTGCCGGGAAGTGTTTCTGCCCGAGTGGGTATTTGAAGCCAAAACCTTTCACATGGGGCTGTGGCATTGGTGGCCGGGGGAAGCTGGAGGGGTCCGGTTCCTGTCTGTCTGGGACAGGCAGGCCTTGCCGTGCAGGGTGTGATGAGTGGCTTCGTAGAGAGCAATCCAGGCCAAGGGGGCGCCCCAAGCCTCCTCGGGGGCTCACACTATGAAAACCACGGTGGAGTGGGTGGGCTGGCGTCCCAGCCGCTTTTTCCTGCCCAGAAAGTCTGGCAGAGACCTCGCGGGGCTGGAGCAGGAGTGTGATGCGGCTCTGCCTCCTGGTGCCAAGGTTACTGCTCTTTCCCAACCCCACCCTCGCCCTCGGGAACCACAGCTGCCAAACCTCTCCGGACGGGGACACGATGTTTCCGCTGCTCCAACAAACACAGAAGCAGCTTCACTCTGTCTCCGGGTCCCCGTCTCCCCAAGGGTGGGCGGGGCATAACCGTTATGGATGTCTGCTGGAGACATTCATAATCGTGCTGTTCTAATTTGACGTGGCTGCATCAGAATGCCCTCTGGAACCCCAGAAGTGAACGCCCAGCGTGACTGGGAAAGCCATTACACGTGTTGCCTCTGCAGCCAGACCGCCCGGCTGGAACCGTAGCCCCACTACATAGGCAAGTTCTGTGGCCTGTCTGGGCCGCACACATCCCATCTGGGAAGGGGCACAACAGTGGTGCCTACTCCACAGGGCTGTCGTGAGGTTAAGTGTGTCTAGCACGGTCTCTGGCACAGAATAGGGGCTTCGTAAGTGCTTCTTCTCTGTAGGCTAGGCCTGACGATCAGTGAGCGATCATTAAGTGCTCTGGATTTGATTCAAGGAGCATCTATTGGACCCCTCCTGTATGTAAATCACTGTGCTGGGCACAGAGAGGGAAGATGACGGATAAATAAGATCCCAGCCCTTCGTCAGAGGAGGTCTCATTTCAAGGCCCCGTTGCAGTCAGAAAACATTTATTTTTCACGTCTAGATGCAGCTGCTGAACGCGCCTGCCTTCAGGAGGGTGGCTCCACTGCACGCCGACCCTGGGACGGGCCGCGTGGGAGACGAGCTCAGACAGAGGTGTGGAAGCCTCCGGAAGAATGTGTGATTCAGTCTGACGAGAAGGCCTGGAGGAACCCCACTCCTCCCTCCCTTCCTTCTCTGGATCCTCTGGGCCCCGAGTCCAGGCCTGTGGACCTTGCAACTCAACCCTATGGCATTTCCTCGCTCCTGCCCCCTTACCACACCTGGTCCCAAAGCCCTCAAACTTTACCCTTGACCCTAGTTTAATCCCACTGGTTGTAACCAGGGAGTCTGGAGAAGAGGTGGGTGGGACCAGGGGCTTCCTCCAGGTAATCGCAGGCCCACACCCAGGCCCCGAGGCCCTGAGAGCAGAACCGGACCGGGCCTGCATTTCCCCCCCATCCTGGGCCACATTCCCTCTTGCCTGGGCCTGCCAGACACGAGACACATCCCTGGGTGAGTGGTGTTTTCTTTGGGAATGAAGTCTTTCCCACCTGCCCTTGGGGCATGCCACTGTCAGGCCTGGGAAACTCACTTTCCTGGCAGGGATTCCGAGTTGGTGCCTCAAGTGGATGAGGTCCTCACAGCCCTAAAGTCACAGGGCGTGGGGCCCTGTGCGCTCCAGGGTGGGGGCTGAGGCGGGGCAGTGAAAAGTCGGGGCAACATCCCCACAGCCCAGCTCCTTTAGAGGGAAACTGCCCCAAGAGCGCATGTGCACAAGGCCCTCGGCGCTCCTCCCAGCCCTCCCGCCCACCCCCGCCCTGACGGAGGGAGAATGTGAGAAAAGGCTTAGGGATGGAAAGAGCGCCTCGATCCTTTTCCGATATCGTGGAGCCATAGAGGGTGAAACAGCAAGGGACCCCTGTGATGGGGGCTGGTCACCGATTCTGGCACGGGTACCTCCCTGGTGTCGGGCCGGGGACAGCCCTGAGCGGTGGAAATAAATTGTGTTTACGTACACGAGTGCACCTATTTACTATAAATTATAACATAGAGGACATTTAGAGGAAATAACACAATTTAGGAAAATAACGAGGATCCCGCCACTGGACCCCCAATGCGCGGACGAACATGCTGTGTAACGCCGCATCGTGGTGATCCGCCCCCCACTCCGCACCGCGGCAGCCGCCCTGGCAGCTCGAGGTGGGGCAGGGTCAACACTCTCCAAAGAGGAACAGGGCTTGGTTTATCGTTTGCTGATTGTCTAGACTCAGGACCGCGGGGCAGTAACTGTCAATCATGCAGATCAGACCTGAAATGTGTAACCATTACACTATAAAAAGCACAAAACTGAGCAAATGTTCTTTTAGTATTTGAAAACTGCAAAGAAATCACTCGTGCCATTCTCATGAATAAGTCAAGCTACTACATGCATCTTCCGGTCACGGGGCCCTCATCCCGCGGTGCAGAACGACCCCCAACCACTCACTCGGCGTGGCTCTACGGGGCTGACTCTGCCTCTCCCCCAAAGACCAGTCCACAACCCAATCCCGGCCAATCAGAGTGATGGGCAGGGATCACATGACCCAATTCAGGCCAATGAGAGTGAATTCTAAGGCATCTGCTGGAACTCTGGAGCAAAGGATGCTCTGTGTGTCTATGGGGGTTGCTAAGCTACTGGAAGCCACCACGTGGAGAAAACTCCCCTGAGTGTGACGCCAACAGAGGACAGCAGGGCCAAGACCCGGGAGAGAGGGTCCTGGCGTCATCGTTGGAGCACCCACGTCCAGTGGGCGGGAACAAGATGCACCTGGATTCTCAGTGCAATGATTACATTCTTTCCCTCAAGCCCGTTTCCCACGGGCTTTTCGACTCTTTAGCGAGCAGAGAGTACCAATGGGCAGGTGCTTTGAATGGCCCGTCCCGGAGCCTGAGCTCCAGCTGCTGGAATCCCCGGGCTAAGAGGCACACTTAGGGACACAGGCGTCCGGAGATCAGTGTCCCAACCTTGATTCACACCCTCTCAGGGGCCTGGCCTCAGGCCAGTTCCTTCTGCTCTTGGAGCCTCAGTTTCCCCGTTTGTTGTCTCTTCTCAAAGGCGTGCGGAGGCAGAGTGAGAAAAGAGCGTTCTTGCTGAGCTGCTGACAGCATTTTTCCTACTGCCGGGGACACCTGCGCTCAGCCCGGAGCGCTCCAAGTGGTGGGCCCTGGAATGCCCCCACCTGTGGTGGCTTAGTCCTCCACAGCTTCCCGGTGCGCTGCGGAGAGAGGTTTATTGGCTAAGAGGCAAGCGCGTGGGGCACGGAGAACGCCAGCCCTGGGTCTATGTCCGGTCATGCCCCTTACCACCTGTGTGACGTTGCGCAGATTATTCATCCACCAAATGGGATCGTGACGCCTAAATAACACCATGCACAGCATACAGTAGGCGCTCAATAAATGGCAGATATTATTAACCAGAGCTCTGTGGCTTTCTGCCAGGTTAACATTGATTCCGAAGTCTGCCGATATAAAGTGGGGAGGCTCACCCAGCACTGTAAAAGACCACGGGGGCTTCAGACATGCCTCCTGTGTCCTGACTTGTTTTCCTTTGACAGGTGCATGAGTTCATGCGCTTCTCCCGAAATAAAAAACAATTATTTGGAAAGGACAATGGCGCAGACACAAGGTCACAAGGTGAACAAGTGCTGGAGAACCTCCTCCCGTGCATGGCCTGGGGCCGTCCTCACAGCACCCCCTCCCGGGCGGTCACATTGCAGCCCCAGCCCACGGTGGTCCGGTCATGTATCTTTCACTTTGATTTAAAAATTGTATTAAAAGAAAAAAGAAACATATTGTATGGCGCCAACAAAAGTCAGAGAGCAAGACTTGGCCAACCTTCAACTCCTGGTCAGGGTGTCGTCCTCTGGAATGCTAGCTCTGGCCCGTGTCCCCTCCACCTCCCCAAATTCTGCTCATCCTTCGGGGACTGGCCCCACCCCTTTTCATCCTCCCTGTCCTGCACGGCAGCAGAGAGCCCCTTGAGAGCCACATTCTCCAACGAGTGACAGCCCCACCCCATTATAATCTCTGTTGGTCCTCTTCCCCCCTTTCTATGACCTCACCCACCAGGTGGGTGTCTGTCCTTTCAGCCCCCAGAGACTGTCAGTTTTGGGGGGGGGGCAGCGATGTGGTCTATTTTCCTGTATTCTCGTACAATTCAGGGCTGTCGCGTTCCTGAGTGATTCCTCCGTGTCAGACCCGGGTCAGGGGCCAGGCTACAGAGAGATGAGACCCAAGGA